GAGTAGGACTCCCTTCTTTCCAAGTAGGAGTAGGAGAAGGGGGGGAAAGAGGAGGAAGAGGGGAAGGAAAGGGGGGGCGCCGCCCCCCTTCCCTTGTCCTATTCGTACTAGGAGGGGGAGGGGCGCGCGGCCCCCTCCTGGCTCCTTCCCTCTTCTCCCTCGTGGCCCATGTAGGCCCATTAACCCTGGGGGGGGGGGGTTCCGGTAACCTCCCGGTACTCCGGTAAAATGCCGATTTCACCCGGAACGATTCCGATGTCGAAATATAGGCTTCCAATATATCAATCTTTATGTCTCGACCATTTCGAGACTCCTCGTCATGTCCAAGATCACATCCGGGACTCCGAACAAACTTCGGTACATCAAAACATATAAACTCATAATAAAACTGTCATCGTTTAAGCGTGCAGACCCTACGGGTTCGAGAACTATGTAGACATGACCTAGAACCATTCTTGGTCAATAACCAATAGCGGGACCTGGATGCCCATATTGGTTCCTACATATTCTACGAAGATCTTATCGGTCAAACCGCATAACAACATACGTTGTTCCCTTTGTCATCGGTATGTTACTTGCCCAACATGTACCTTCGGAAACACCTGTAGAGCACCTTTATGATCACCCAGTTACGTTGTGATGTTTGGTAGCACACAAAGTGTTCTTCCGGTAAACGGGAGTTGCACAATCTCATAGTTGCAGGAACTTTGTATAAGTCATGAAGAAAGCAATAGCAGTATACTAAACGATCAAGTGCTAGGCTAACGGAATGGGTCATGTCAATCACATCATTCTCCTAATGATGTGATCCCACTAATCAAATGACAACACATGTCTATGGTTAGGAAACATAACCATCTTTGATTAATGAGCTAGTCAAGTAGAGGCATACTAGTGACTATAGTTTTGTCTATGTATACACACATGTATTATGTTTCCGGTTAATACAATTCTAGCATAAATAATAAACATTTATCATGATATGAGGAAATAAATAATAACTTTATTATTGCCTCTAGGGCATATTTCCTTCAACCGCCTTCTATCACCTTCAGCGACACGATCACGGACATCACCCCCTTTATCCCGATCATGCTCGATCTTCGTAGCCACAACTACTAGCATTGGCGGCATCTTTTTGAGATCCATCTTGGCCGCTGCTCTTTTCTCCACCACATCACTAGCGAGGCGCCGCCGGCGCCCCACGACTCCTGATGGCTCAAGGATGATCTAGCCATCATCCAGTGGCTGTACACACGCATCTCCACCGAGCTTTTCAACTTGGTGGTCACCGATGGCGCAACTGCTCGCGACATTTGGAACGAGCTCCGTCGGTTGTTCCAGGACAACTGCGACGCCCGCGTCTCCGCTCTCAACACCGAGCTTCACACGATCACCCAAGGAGACCGCCTCGTCGGCGTCTTCTACCAGCCCATCAAGGCCATCGGCGATGAGCTTCGCGAGCTTGCGAAGTGGTCGCCGACCGCTCTCTTCTTCACACACTCTTGGGCGGGCTCGACGAGCGCTTTGCTCAATAGGCGACTTTGATCCCGCTTCTCCGTCCACTGCTAACGCTTGCCGAGGCGCGATCCATGCTCCAGATGGAGGAGCAGAACCAGGCGCGCAAGGCGGCCGCTCCACGCCTCTTCCACGCTGCCGCGCGCTCGGCTCCACCTCCGGCGGCCGTGGTGCCGCCTCCGCCATCTTTTGCACCACAACCTCCTCCTGGATGGCGCCCCAGCCCCAACTACAAGGGCAAAAACCCGGTCTACCACCCGCCGAAGCCCGGATCGGCGTCCTCTTCATCGACGCCAGCCCCTGCATCGACTACTCCTCCACCGGCCGCCGCGCCCTCTCCTCCGGCTCCTCCCACCTGGCGTCCTCAACACCATCCTTGGACTGGGCTGGTGCAGGCGTGGCCTATGCCCTGGTCTGTGCCCTCGCCATATGGTGCTCCGCCGGCCTACAGCGGCAGCTGGGCTCAAGGCCTCCGTCCCTCCACCGGCGCGCCTGGTCTCCTCGGCGCCCGTCCACCACCGCATGCGTATGCTGCATATGCGCCTCTGTACCAGGCAGCGCCACCCACGTACCCCTACGGCTTCCCCAGGCCACCAACTTGGGAGCACGCGGCCGCGGGCGCCTCTTCGTCGACTCAGCCACCGCCCGCCTCTGCTTCAACCTCGACCGCACCGGCATGGGATCAGGCCACCTTCATCGCCGCTATGAACTCTCTTACCACTCAGGACACAGGTAATGATTGGATCTTCGACTCTGGTGCATCCTGTCATATGTCTGCATCTAGCGCTTCACTTTCTTCTCTTCATCCCTCTGTTCTGTTCCCATCCATCACCATTGGAGACGGCTCCTCTGTTCCAGTCACCGGTGTCGGTACTTCTTACCTCTCTCTCTCTCTCTCTCTCTCTCTCTCTCTCTCTCTCACCTCTTCTCCTTTGAAAAGTTCTTGTCGCTCCCGCTCTCATTAGGAACCTTATATTCGTTCACCGTTTTACTATTGACAATCAGGTTTCCATTGAATTTGACCCATTCGGATTGTCTGTGAAGGATCTTTGAACCAAGATGGAGTTGGCTCGGTTCAATAGTCTCGGCGATCTGTACACTGTCCACGATGCCACCACTCCCACGCCTCCTCCTCACGCCATGCTCGCCTCCATCACCTTGTGGCATCGCCGGCTCGGGCACCCCAACAGCACGACGACGACGGCTCTTCTCGATGAATTTTAGATTCCTCACGCTCGTATTTCACACGACGCTTCTCTTTGTCACGCTTGTCAGCTAGGCAAGCATGTTAGGCTGCCATTTGGTACTTCTACTACTCGTAGTTCTTTTCCTTTTCAACTTTTGCATTGTGACTTGTGGACATCACCCACACCCAGTGTATCCGGTTTCAAATATTATCTTGTC